TAACACATGGAACAAACCTTAAAGAAAGGCATTAATTAACGTGGAATTATGAACGAGATAATTCATCGAACTCCAGCTATTTGAATATTGATTTTTTTGAATAGATACGTTCGTCATAGACTTTGGCTCTTTGAAAATATACCGGCTGTATTAGTACAGATGGATAGTCACATTTGAAATAAGTATAAACCCTCGGCGAACATTGACTTAACAGAAGATGCTCATGCTCTATCTACGCAACAAGCCCGTCATCATTTTTACATAACCAGTACGAAGATATGTTCTGATTATGAAATAAAAAACATGGAAGGACTCTCTACTCAAAACGCAAAGAGTAAAGCAGCTTCTCTATGCCATCCATTGCGTGTGTGATCGTTTCCATCGAACTAGCGTATGAAATGCGCATGCCAAACTCGTCTCCAAATTCTGAGCCCGGTACCACCGCAATGTGCATGTCTTGAAGTAGATGCGCACAGAAGTCATCAACGCTCGTAAGAGTCACGCTTTTGTCGGCAGTGAACGCCTTCTTGCCTTTAAAGTACGACGATAGATCCAGGAAGACATAAAATGCTGAAGTTGGATAAGCAAAGCGCATGTTGGGCATATCTGCCAGCCGCTTGACGATATAACGGCGCTTGATGTCCAGATTCTTGATCACTTCGGTGATGCGACGTTCGCCTTTTTCCATGCATTCGAGCTCGTACTTGAGGGCCTCCACAGCAGCCACCTGGCCAATGGTGTTCGGACATGACGTCAGCTGTGCCTGTAGCAGCGTGCATGGGTCAATGTAGTGACTAGGACCGGCAAGGTAACCCACACGAAGGCCAGTCATGGCGTGTGCCTTGGAGAATCCGTTAACTAGCAAGGTGCGCTCATACATACCTTGTAGCGTGGCAAAGCTCACATGTTTTCGCTCCGGTACACCCTCATCCTGGTACAACAATTGCTCGTAAATTTCGTCTGAAATGACCACAATGTGGCGGAACTGTGGCTTGCGCAACACAGCAGCAATCTGCTCGAGATGCTCGGGGCCATGAAGCGTGCCAGACGGGTTGCTCGGATTGCACAAGATGATAACCTTTGCATCCGGGTGTAGTGTTAGTGTCTTTTCGAGCTCTACCGGATTTATTAGGTAGTTTTCTTCAAGCGTTGTACGCAATACAACGGGTTCTGCGTACACAAGTTTGACGATTTCTGGGTAGTTGAGCCAGTAGGGTGTCGGGATGATCACTTTTTGGCCAGGACGGCATATCGTGTACAACGCTTGGTAGATGGACTGTTGTGCGCCATTTGAAACCAGAATCTCTGTGGCTGGATCGTAGTTCAATTCTTTGGCTTGCTTCAGGTACGTTGAGATGAGACTTCGTAGCTTTACCAAACCTCTCATGTGTGCATATTTAATGTTTCCTTCAATCATAGCCTTGGCACCAGCGGCCAATACACGGTCGTGCGGGTTGTAGTCGGGCTCACCAACGCACAAAGACCACACCTTCTTGCCTTCGGCCTCCATTTGTTTCGTCTGACCATGAATCAGCACAGTCTTGGCAACGGTCACTTTCTGAAAGATCGGGTTCAAAGGATACTTGTCAGCCATGGTGCCACCAACTTCGTTTTTGACACGGCCACTTTTTTCAGCCATTGTCATGACCTCTTCACTCCGCAATATTGCAAAGGAGCCCAGAATGCGCACGAATGCACAGAGCTCATTCAGCCTACGAATGGCTGCAGACACTTTGGCATCCGTGAGATGACCCAACACGTCTGCGATAAAGAGGTACTGGTATTTATTTGTCCTCATCTCCGGATATTCAT